CTTCAACTCGTACATCCACACTCCACACTCCACACTCACACCCTCTTGATGTCATTTTTGTGTTTTATCATCCAACATATGACATAATTCTGCTGGCAAATGGAATAACGTTTTATCACCTGCTGCTGCAAGAGGAGCATTTTTCGTTCATAATTATTTGTATTTTCATCCGAAATATCAAGTTTGATTGTTTTTTCATAAATAATCGGTCGTTTCATTTTTTTCCCAAGACTGGATTAGCATTATTTCGAATAACATATACCTTGAGAAAATAATGTTGATCCAAAAATAATACTCTATTTTCATGCGCTACGGGCATAACTATTCTTGGCATTCTGAAAAAAATCTGAAAATCGAAGAAAATATCAAATATACCAAGAAATTCAAAGATTTCAATGAAAATTTCATTTGGTAATAATTCAAATTTCATGATGGTTTGTAATTCGGTTATAATAGAAAGAATCAAATACACACGTTTTTTCTATTCCACTGTATATATGTGCACATGCATGTTATCAGTTACATTTTATATAATAGTCTAGACTAGAAGAGAAAAGAATTTAAGGTAAGTAGTTCGAGGGGTATTCTATGTTTATTGTTTAAACAGCAAAGAATGTGACAGAACGTATGTATATTCATTTTCGTCGTATTCTCATCAATACATTTAAGTTTATAATCATAGCTATATTAAATCGGGTCTACGAAACTTGTGCACGAAACAGTAAATTCATATTTATACTTCGAAAGATAATGAAAATATAAAGAGATAGCAACAACAAATTGTTTTTATTTTATTTTCAAAATCAGACGCATGTTTGCGTGTAATTTATAATAAATCATTTCCATTGCGAATAATTATTTTTGTGTACTCAAAAAGTGAGTACACTCTAGAATCGGCCAGTGTGTCCGGCCGTCCGTTTACACGATAACTTGTGAAAGGAGAGTCAGATCGCGATGAAATTTTCTACACAGTTCAGCCGTTAGAATATCTCGGTCGAGTTCGAAGATGAGAAGGATTGGCTGAGCTGTTCCTGAGTTATTGCAAAAATACTCATTTTTCCCTATGGCTTCCTATAGGAAAATCGACCTATCTCCACATTCGTAAAACACTTTCCCTATCATAGTCAAATGAAACCCCAACTATAATACACCGTTCGATAGAGAATTTCACGAGCTACAAAATAGTATATAAAACATAAAGAAATATAACTCACCTATTGCAAGGGTAATTAAACGGCAATTGGTTCTGTTTGTGTTCACACTCTAATTGATCGACAATTAGAGCTCTGTCTTTCGATCATAGAGATGACAGTTCGAGGTTTTTTGGGTCGAAGAACTCCAATCTGAGCTCCCTTTGCCTCGAAATTCTATTGGTTGAGCAGTAACCAGTAGAAATCAAGTTATCGGAAAAACGATTTTCTTAGGGTAAATCAAGACGAAGAGTTCAAATCTGAGCTGTATTCATCTGTAAATCCTAGTGGTTCACCAGTAGCCAAAAAATCAACTGTTTATAGAAAAGGTTTGCCAGGATGATTTTGATGCCCACACATTCTAGGATGACGAATCAGTCTCATTCACTTTTTGAAGTACACATAACTCTCGGATTTAAATCCGAGGTTTCCACATTTATTATATATGTAATGCTTGTTCTTAAAATAAACTCATCTTAATTAGACTAAAGCATCTACAAAGACTGTGTTTAATAATTACAAGCAAACAATATAGTTACTAGAGATGACATTTATCTTTATTTTACTTTGAAAAAGTAAAGTATATTCATTTTATTTCAATCCGTAAGGTAAAGTATACTCACTTTACTTCATCGATAAAATTAAAGATAAGGTGTCATTCTAAATAATTACTTGTCTTTGTGTATCTTAGTATCTTACTAAGATAATTATTTAAGAATATTAAAGTTAAGGATAAAGCAGATGATTAATAAGTTTTCTTCAGAACATTCTTGTCTTTAAACGTTTAATATTTCATTTTCTCCGTAAGAATAAATTGTACAATCAAATGCTTTAATATTTAATCAAGAAAATGATGACATCAGTTTTTGAATCAGACAAAAAGAACACAATCAAATCTCAAAAATGTAATATGCATCATTAATTAGCTGATAACATTTATTAGTAACAGAACAAAGATAAATCAGTATGGTATGTCTCTTTTGTTGAAATAATAAACTGTGATACATATCTTATTTGAAAGGTTAGTTACAGTTTGAAAAACTATATAAAAAAATTGCATTTTTTACTATTTGAAATTTAATCTAGTTCTATTTAAAATTGAAGTTCGACATTATTCGTTTTTGATATTGAGCAATTGATGTTCTAGTCACACAATGTTTAGAGTTCAGTGTTGGACTAAAAAAAACAAAATACTAAATTTGAAAAGAACATATGAATGAAATTCACACAAAATATTCTCTGTTTTGATATCATCAAAACAGATTTAGATGTAATCTAATCAGAAGAAGAGGCAATTGAATCTGCGACATTTGTCATCTCATATCATACTGAATGAAAGATACAGCTTTTTTATTATTTTCTATGCTATGATAAATATTAGTTTTTGAAGAATAAAAAAAAAAAGAACGTTTAATTTTCTTTTGACCAAAAATCTATTTAAGTGACGTTCAAAGTTGATTGAAGACTAATAGAATTTTCATGTCTTATATTGTTCAGCAGCTCAGCTATTACAAAAATGATTATTGGAAGTCAGATGACGATATATGATGGTGAAAAAGTAATTGATGCTTTAATTATTATTAATAATTCTTATGCAGCTTTTTTTCTGAAAATGTTTCAACATATGTGACATTAAAAAAATTAGTTTCATATAAGCAAAGCAAAAAGGATAATTCATGACTATCGGAAAATTTTTATTGTCACCTCTTATAATAAACACGCTATTGAGAAAAATAATTGAAAGAAAAGACAACACAAACTGTATACACGATAAACTGTGAAGTTGACGAATAGCAAACAATTATATCATCTTTTTACGCTGACTATTGGAAGGAAGAATAATAATGCTTTGTATTATTGTTTATGAAGGCATTATATAAGAATGATGCACAATATTCAATATGATGACATTAAAACAAATCATGGTAACAACATTAGAGAATCTCTCTGTCGAAATATTCCTAGAAATATTTACTTATTTCCAGCTTCATGAAGTATTTGATATTTTTTCTAATCTTAATTCACGATTTGCTGCTATTATGGACAATCTATCAATTATTCCTGTTTACTTGGGTTTGAACGGAATGAGTATAGCAGTGACCAAATTTTATTATATGCATTTATCACAATCAAACATCTCCAGTCGTCTTATTTCATTATGTGTCTCAGATACATTAGCTATCGATAATGGTTTATGGTTAGCTGAACATGTATCTACATTTATCAATCTTCGTCATTTATCTTTAATCGACATTAAACGTTCTTCTTTTGAATTGATTCTTAACTCATTGTCACCTATTAATTCTCTCATCGTGTTTAGTGTATGCTTTTCAATTGATGATGATCGTTCTACTTATACGTTTATAGGTGTACCTGAAGGTGCATATTATGAACGAATTTTTCACATATTTCCTTCATTACGTGTATGTCATCTGCTTTTCCGGCCATACATACTTTCTACTCTAGACAGTGAACTTATTCTACCACCTGACAGAACTTTTATGCCTGTTCAAATCGGTCTTTTAAATTTACAATCACTTACACTTTATTGCTCACCAAGCTTTCTGTCACATTTATTTGAACATCTCCCACAATTGCAACAACTCACCTATACACGAACTGATCCTTGGCTACCTAAAAACCATCCACTAAGACATAGTGATTACAAGTAAGTTTCTTTCTTTAATTGAATGTATATTTTAATTTATGAACTCAATGTGGAGCGTATGATAGAAGAGACAATATCTAATCATTTTATCAGAAGAAATTAAAGTTCAAACTGAATTATTTATGAAATAATAAGATACGTTTTCAATAATTCGTATTCACTTTTAGAGTCAAATATTAAGAATAGCGAGGAGATTTTAAATAGTTGATGAATTACAATTGAGTTATGTATTAGATTTTTAAATGAACACAATAAATATATAGCAAGAATACTGACACTGCGTACGAACTGGAGTAGATAAATAAAAGAAAACTGCGTTCCATGAAATATTTAAATATAATATAAGTAATGCATTTTTTATTGTTGCAAAGTAGTCTTATTAATCCATTTTAGTCGAATCACTCCCATTAATAAACGTCTTGCTCCAAATCTATACTGCCTAACAATAAAATGGTTTACTTCTATAATGAATCCAGAATCGATTAATGAATTATTTGAACGTGATCTTTTATTTTCATTAATGAACTTCAGATTATTAGCACAAGTGGCTGGTCTCCATGTTCTTCATAATTTACAATTCATGCTTTCCAGTCAATGTTTATATTCGTTTGATATTACATGGTCTGTTAAAACCGTTGTGTCAATATCGGAAACAAGCAAAATTTTATTCGACACATTTCAACAGCTCAAAGGACCAGTGCCAATTGAATTAGAACTATCTTTTTTAAAAGACATGTATGATATTAGAGCTTTAACAGTACCAAGAATGGATAAACGGTTATATGTCTATACATATCTACATAAAAATATTGTGCATGGGTATAGATAGACAGTTATTTTTTTATTACAAACATTTTTTTGAATTTAGACGAACTCTATGGTCAGATAATAGATTTGTCTTCAACAATCAATTGCTTCGCTGTAATAAGATTATTATGAGTCAAGATTATGATCGAATGAACGATGAATTTCTTTCTTTTTCACCATCCATAGTTCCTTGGCATCACGTTACATCACTTACTATTGCTGAACCATTTAATCGAAATCATCTTCATCTTCTCTTTTCGCAAGCGACGAATCTACGTACTCTAGAACTGCATTATAGATTAGAATTTGATAGTAAAATTGGTTTAAAAGAGGAAACTTTAATCGATCTCCTTAGCGATAGTTCTTTATGTAACATGCTCATGTCAAATGGTTTACGACAACTCAATCTTTTTACTGTTTGGAAACAATCAAATTTGTTAAACATTGCTTATTCAATTGTCGAGCGACTATCTCATTTGCAAGTCATAGAACTACATGGTATTGTTTGTGAAATTATGGAAGTGGCACATATACTTATCAATGGTCTTTCAAAATTAAGTTTTCTCACTCTTGATGGTGAATTACAACGTGGTAAACTTTATGATAAAAGATTGCGTGATCTGCAGAATTCAAATACTCGTTCTTTTCGAACGGAAGTTCCTAATACAAGAGATGGAAATATACTTTTCGTATGGCTATAACAAAAATGAAACTGCAAATATTTCTTTGCTTCTTTGTACTTAAACGTTTGTTTGAAAAAGAATTGCGAAAATATTTAAATATAAATAAAGCGAAATTTTTCTGAATTTTGTTTTGTATGTTAAATCAGTTGAAAAGATCTTTTATTTTTGATATTAAGTCAGATAAAAATCTTTTTGTTTTTTATTTTCTATATGTTATAATTTTACGGAAAATGCAAGGACATCATTTTTTTAGTGCTCAATTATGTAATTCTTGTCCAAGTTTCCGAGTTCCCAATGATTATCATCAAATCATAACATGTAAAAATTTATTTAGTATTAAATTATACTAATACTCGTTTCTAGTTGCACATCAGAATGTATACAAAAATTACTCCGAGATGGAAACAATAACACTAATATCCTGCCCAAAAAAATGTTTTTTTTGTTAAGAATCAATTTATTTTTACACTTCAAACATATCAAATGTGATGATCAGTTTTTTTACACATCTTTTTATTTTTCACTAATAATAACAATAAATGAATTTACAAATCATTGATGAATAAATAAAATGAACTTAACAAAACATAATATGTCTACATCGAACATTCTTAAATCAGAAACGAAAGGTTATCCATTGAAAATTAAATCTGTTAAAGTAAAAATGTGTATCAGCAGATTATATAAACAAGTAACGCTAGTGGTGGCCCGAGGTAACCAACATTGGGCGGAGGAGCTGTCCCGATTTTTTGAGTGCACGATGTAATATTTTCCTAACAGAAAACCAAAAAACTTTCTCATTTCGCTGGAAAAAAGCGAAAATTTTTCATGATTGGGAGTGCCACACCCTCAGTCGGGCCACCATTGCTTGTTCCATTAGTTTTTGTTTTTGATAAATGATTGGATTTTTTTTCCAAATTTGAATAATCATATTCATCTACTCATTGCTATAAAAGTAAGCATAATTTAAGTAATGTAATACTAAGATTCTCAGTCTATGCATATATTGAAATGGATCCATTTTCTATTACGCTTTTCCTATCAATCTTAGTTGTAAATCTTTAACAACAACAACAACACCTTTTCCATTTTTTTTTCTTCTATAACTTGATTTTTTATAATTCGATTGTACAGCATCTGTATTATCATGAACGGTTGGTAAAATAGATATTGATTATTTAGTGACATGAACACTGAAAAATATTATTGCTGTTTCACTAATATTTGATAAACGTTCATGCAATAATTTGGAATCTGAATAAGTTAATTGAAGAAAAATATTATCTTTATGTTTCTCAATACCACTATTAAATAGAAACTAAGGCTATATAAACATATATTAAGCGATGTAAAAAGGTAACAAACCGTCCTTAATAAAATTGAATTAACATTCTCTATGAAACAACATCATGTGATGCAAGATCTTTAACAACTGATACATAATATTCCATAACACATTCATCATTACTATTCACAAAAGCAAAAACATATACATCACGAGAACCTTCTGTCATAAGGCAATCCACATCACAAATACCTAAATTAATTTTATTTATAAAAAAAAAGTATATACAAAACTTTCATTATCAGTTGGATGGAACTGAACAAATTTTACATCTTAATTTAAGACTAGTACAAGTAACCATTATATTTCTATCACCAGTGTAACCAGGATAACCAATCCTACCTGCGGATCCTACCGGAAACGATCGATCCAGTATCGGATGACACCGGATTCCGTTCTAAAATGGATCGAATCCGACAGTTGTCCCATTGTTACCTAAGTTCTGTACATTTTTTTCTTTTTCACCAACAAATTTATTTTTCAACAAAGATATGAAGCATTAGCCAACAATATAATCGCCATTGTTTTCGACCAGAGGTCGAATCGAGTCGAGTTTTTCTAGATCGAGTTCGGTTCGGTTCGGATTCGCTTTTGGAAAATAGGTTCGAGTTCGGTTCGGTTCGGTTCGACTTCACTTTTGAAAATACGGTTCGAGTTCGGTTCGGTTCAGATGGATTTTTCGAAAACCGGTTCGGATTCGGTTCGGTTCGGCTGGTCTTTAAGAAAACAGTTCGGCTGCGGTTCGACTCAAGTAGTATTACTGCCATTTAATCAAGACTAGGTCAAAAATCAAAACTGAGTTTTCAGACGATCAAAATTGTCATATGGAAGTTCATATTCGTGTCATTTAACACTGCGAAATACATTTATAGATTAAATTATATGTTAACATTGATACACGAGAATTAGAAATATTCTAATGCTGATACTAATCTCATGTTACCGTGGACGATTATTCATTGCATTTTAGAAAAATGAAGGAATTTACAAAAGAAAAATCAAAGAATTATGCCACATAAAAGTGATCTGTCATCATAGATACAATTTGTGTAACTAAAACTAAGAGAAAAAGTATACAGCAATACACAGATACTAAATTAAGCATGTGAAACAATTAATAAATGTTCGTTTTTATCTTTCTTGACGGCATTATACTTCTCTAAATCAATGATAGTTTAGTTACTTTTTTGTCATTGGACATTAAACCGTGTTCAACTTTTCTTGCTTCAAAATTACTTCAGGTCCGGTTCGGTTCGTCTTCATTTTTGAAAAAGTGGTTTGAGTTCGGTTCGGTTCGACTCCATTTTCTAAAAGTCAGTTCGGGTTCGGTTCGGTTCGACTTTATTTTCAAAAAGTTGGTTCGAGTTCGGTTCGGTTCGTTTTCGACCTCTGTTTTCGACAACCTTCACCCATCTAGTTGGCAATAGTTCAATTCCACGTTTGTAGAAACTAGCTGGTTGTGATTCGAGAAAGGCAGTAAGGTCAGATTTTAGCTCATCGAAGTCTTCATAGTGCTTGTTGCGAAGATAGTTTCGAAGAGAGAGGAACAGATGATAATTGGATGGCGCACGGTCTGGTGACCACGGTGGGTGCGGAACAGAGCTTGGCAAGTCAAGTCAAGAATGCCTCAAGTCCAAGTCAAGTCAGTCAGACTTGACTTGACTTGACTTGGGAAAATTTTTTAATACCCTGACTTGACTGGACTTGGAAAAATTTTTTAATATTCCTGACTTGACTTGAGAAAATTGTTTTAATATTCCTGACTTGACTAGGGGTCGGCAGTTACCGTTCCCAGACCGTTACCCGGTAACGGTAACGGTAACGGTTCACACGGAAGAAGTTACCAGTTACCTGGCTAACGGTAACGGTTCCGTTACCAGTTACCCGGGAACTGGTGACGGTTCCGTTACCAGTTCCCGGGTAACTGGAAACGGTTCCGTTACCAGTTACCCGGGAACGGTAACGGCCAGTTACCAGTTACCCGAGAACGGGGTAACGGTAGTACTATTGCAGGACATCTATCGGTCCTCAAGTCCTATTATTCGGGGATACCCTTGGGTCCTCAAGTCTTACCATCCGGGTTACTCTTGGGTCCTCAAGTCCTACCATCCGGGGTACTCTTGCGTTCTCAAGTCTGACTACTGAAAGGTACCCAAGGGGGTTCAAACTTTTTGCCCCTATTGCGAGGACAAGTGATGGGCATGTTCGGGCCAAGCATAGGGTTATCGAGGATGCTCTATCGATTGATGGGTATATGTAGG